ATTCTTAGGAAAACACTTTGTTGGTAGAACAATACAAATCACACTCATACCCCAGACCAAAACATTTTGTAGGCAAACCACTCCCTAGGTGGAATCCTTAGTTGGATTGTTACACTTTTGTTTGAGGTAGAAACATATCTACTTCTCTATTCCTGAAATACAAGGTCTGGATATTAGCCACTTCTGTTGACAGTAACCTCAGAGAACTCTCTGATCTAAATCTAGGTGGGACCTTTGTTTGAGGTAGAAACAGGCAATAACCTTGAAGGAATAGGAGTGAGTTCCAACTCTCTTCCCTTTGGTCAAAGTGGAAATAGGCTCACATTTTTGAGCCTCCACAGGTTCCTGTTACCATCAAGGGCATGCGATGCCAGGGGTCTTGACTATCACCTGAGACCATGTTAGAGTCCAGGGACCACACTGCTACCAGGGCCCATAAAGACTTGACTGACCTGTGCTACTGCCTGGGGCCATGGAGATAATTAGGCCCAAGCTTCTGCTGAGGGCCATGTCTGGGTCCATGATCCTGTTGCAGCTGAGGTATGTGCTGATATCTGTTGCATGTGTTAACACAGAGACCCATGTAAACCATGTGTGTTGTGGTCCTAGGGTCATGCTGAGCTGGACCCTACCCTCATTAGCCCTGGGATAGCTGGCCACAATGGCCACCAAAACAAGAGAGCTAACCCCTCTCCTCATAGGAGAGCTTCCCCCAACACCACACTTGGAAAAGCTGGTGCTACCCCTCACAAAGGGTGATGGAAAGCTGGCTCTACCCCTTGCCTGAGGGGGTGGTTCCAGGGGCCCAGACTGACCAACTCAGCTACCATCAAGGCACACAACCAAGGTTTGAGTTGGCCCACACCAGCATCTAACTTGCCTATAATCTGCTGGGGCACATTAAGGGACAGGTCCTGCAGAAACATAGCTACAGGATCTCCATGACTCAGGGCAACAGCAGGATATCTGAGAGGAATTTCTGTAAGGGTCCAGTATTGATGATTCACCAGAGGCCTTGAACCTGACCGACAACTCATTACACAGTGAATATTTGCAAGTAAAGCTATTTGGACCAAAGGGTCTACTTGGTGACACACCTCAGTTCCCAATGACACTACGGTGCATGAAGAGGAGATGGAGATGCTGGAAAGACAGAGGAGGGAAGTGGGTTTTGTTTGTTTTTGTTTTGCTTTTTTGTTGTTTTTGGTTTTGTTTTCTATTTTTATTTGTTTTTATTTGATATTTTAATTTTTTCTTTTATTACTTCTTTTTTGTTTTGGTTTTTATTATTTCTTTTTTAATTTTCTTTTTGTGGGGGAATGCTACAAGGGTGAAGTGCAAATATAGAGGGGCTGGGAAATGAGTAGGATTGGGGTGTGCAATATTTAATTCCCAAAGAATCAATAAAAAAAAACTTTGTTAAAAAAGAATGAAACCCGTAGTTTCATATGTTTGAATACTTTATTCCCAAATTTAAGAACTGTTTGGGTAGGATTAGGAAGTGTGTCACTGGGCGTGGGCTATGAGGTTTCAAAAGTCTATGATGTTCTGAGTCTTTCTCTTTCTCTGCCACCTTCTTTGGACCAGGATGTGAGTTCTCACTACTCCCAGCACAAGGCCTGCCTGCCTGCTGCTCTGCTCCACACCACGGTGGTCATGGACCTTCTGAACTGTAAGCACCCTCTAGATGCTTTCCTCTGTAAGTTTCCTTGGTCATGGTATTAGAAAAGTAACTAAAACAAAGTCTATCTTTCATCCTGCGTGTAGGTGGTGACTGTGTCTCTTCCCATTGGTGGGTGGATGTCTTCATAATCTTACAAAACTGGCTGATCAGTGAAAAGGGAAAGGGAGTGATTGATACAATATGGGCCTTTAATGAGCTAACAATCTTTGATTTTAAAAAAAGGCTTCTCAGACAAAGAAAGAAAGTTTATGTCTTACCACGAGATGAAGAAAACCCAGTAACCAGGCAGAAACACAAAGGACCTCATGAGGATCTCACTTTAGCCTCCCCAGGGTCCTCCATCCACCAGTGTCCACTGAAGTGACTCAAGGCACACAGCACAGTGTGACAGACATAGAGTCCACCACAGAGTACCACACAGCACACATCCTTTGTTGTAATAGGAGTGGCGGGCTACATTCCTGTCACCAGGCTGCCCGCACGGCTAGCTTTATACCCGAAATAATTACACGGAAACTGTATTCTTTTGAATACTGCCTGGCCCATTAGTTCCAGCCTCTTATTGGCTAGCTCTTACATATTGATCTAACCCATTTCTAATATTCTGTGTAGCACCACGAGCTGCCTTACCAGGAAAGATCTTAACCTGTGTCTGTCTGGAGTGGGAAAATCATGGCGACTGCCTGACTCGGCTTCTTTCCCCCAGCATTCTGTTCTGTCTACTCTGCCTACCTAATTTTCTGTCCTATCAGGCCAAGCAGTTTTCTTTATTAGTTAACCAATGAAAGCAACAGATAAGATACAAGACCCACCTCCATCAGTCCTTGGGGTGGCGGGGGGGAGGGGACAAAGGCCAAGGGGAACATTGAGCCATTCTATGTTTTGGGAGACTTTACACTATTTCTAGAGTCTTTAGAACAGGCAGCTTTCCTGTGAGACTCTGTGCTACCCAGGCAGCTGTCAGTCCTGCTGGATTTCACTCTGGCAGCAGAGGCAATGCACACACACATATTCTTCAACACAAAGCTTCCTGCTCTACAGGACTCTAGTAAGATTTAGGTTTCCAGAAACCAGGCTTTAATAGCTATCTATAATGACTTTGCAGGTTTCCTGCCCAGCGAGTTATGAACCACTTGCCTAGAAGCTAGAGGGGGATGCCACCCTTGAGGGGGAAACAAGCAAAGGGGCTCATGGCAGGAGATGAGATGGAAGGATACGCAGAGGGGACTCCGGGAGGGTCCCAGTACCACCTGGAGGAACATGATACTTTGGAAGATCAGGAAGATTCCTGGTCATGGCTAGCCCCTCTCTGTCATAAGTAGGCAGATCTAGTCAGTCTAGGACGGGGACCTTGAGTGGGAGATACCATTCCTGGGACATATCGATTCCAGGGTTCCCACACAGTAGAAAACCCATTAAGATACGAATCCCCTTGATCCCCTTTTGTTGTCTTATTGCTATTGCTAGAACTTCAAGCACTATATTGAAGAGGTATGGAGAGAGTGGACATTCTTGTCGTGTTCCTGATTTTAGTGGGATGGCTTTGAGTTTTTCTCCATTTAATTTAATGTTAGCTGTCGGCTTGCTGTAAATAGTTTTTATTATATTTAGGTATGACCCTTGTATCCCTAATCTCTCCAAGACCTTTATCATAAATGGGTGTTGAATTTTGTCGAATGCTTTTTCAGCATCTAATAAAATGATCATATGTTTTTTTTCTTTCAGTTTATTTATATGGTGGATTACATTGATAGATTTGTGTATGTTGAAGCAGGGAATGCTGATTGCTCTTTGGGCTGACGAGGGAGGGGGACTTGATTGGGGGAAGGGGAGGGAAATGGGAGGTGGTGGCAGGGAAGAGACAGAAATCTTTAATTAATTAATTAATTAAAAAAAGAAAACCCATTAAGAGCACCGGGCTAAGAGCATGAATAGGAGCACTCACTCCCCAGCCACCCCTGGCTCCCTTAGCCATCTTATCTGGAAGCTAGGTTCTCTCCCACAGAAGCCAAGAAAAGGACTGAGCTTCTTTACCACACACAACTCTGTCAGTGCCCCGGGCACAAGCTGTGCGCTAAGAGCGCACCACATGGCCTCTCATAGATTCCCCAAAGTCCCCACTGGAATAAGATCCCCGTGGAAACCTGCACACATTTGCATCTGTAACACTGTCTCCCCAGCTGTGCCCAACCTAGTAGCTTCCCAAATTCTCCACAAAGTCAAACACCTTCTGAAGCCATAGAGGGGAGGGCAGGGGTTGCCCCATCATATGAACTTCTAGGATGTTCTACATCCTACAGGACTGAGGTAGTCAGACTTTGGGATCTGGTACCTACTGGGTCCCAGAGCTCCTCAATTATGTCATAGAGCTTCTGGGAGTTTACAGGAGACTCCAAAGCACACACTGAGTCCAAAATGGCTGCTTAAGGCTTTACTTGGGTTTAGGGTGGGACAAAGGGTCCTAGCAGAAGTGTGGTCCAATGGGCAGTGAGATGGTCTTGAGGGGTGTTTCTCAGGGTTGGGTGGTCCAGGGAGATGAGTATTCCAGGAGAGGCAGTGCTATTAACTGGTGAAGAGTTGACTCAAGATTTGCAGTTCCAAGGGACAGCTGTGACAGGAAGAGGACAGAGATGAGGCCCCCTCCTTCTACAGTGGAGCTCATAGGAAACAGATGCCAATCAGAGAACTCCCTTCCCACAGACACTGTGGAGATGTTGCCACACACTCATGATCCTCAAGCACAGCCTGCCATGTTTACCAGCAGGTCACTAAGCATCTAAGTAGTCACTAAGTACGGAGTGTGTTGGGTGGGAGAGGAGACCACATGGAGCCCATGACATGGGAAGGAGTCTCCTAAAAAGAATGGGTTCCCAAGTGTCCAGGGGTTTTGCTTGTGGTCACATCCTTGAAAGGCCACTCATACCTGAATGGATACAAAGGGTCTCTCGTATCTCAGTTTAAGGATCCAAAAAATGAACCACAAAACTCAAGTACTATGGAGTCTGAGCTGTCCTAAGTTTCTTCCAAGTGTCACTTACCATTGTGGTTTTTAGGGACACACATTTCTGTAGAAACGAAGAAAAATCCAGGGTTGAAGATGTGTGCTGAGAAAGACCTAGACCCCATCACACACGCATCTTAGATGTTATCATAACCAAGACCTGGAATATGGTGAGGGAAGAGTAGGGCAAATGGAGACAGAAAGAGACACCAGGGCATGGAGAAACACAAGGGTTTCTGAATAAGGCTGACACAGGAGAACAGGAGGGGTGTGGACAGTTCTATGTAACTACAGGAAAGTATGGTCTCTTGTGGTCTAGTCTATGATCTCTAAAGTCACCTGCTCTCCTCTCTGCTCAGGAACCATGATGTTTTCTGGTGGGAATCCTTTCTGTTGTGCGAACTTCTTGAACTCTTCTAGGGCCTCGTGGTTTTCTGTGGGATCCTTCCCTGGGGGCAGAGACCAGATGAGCACATGGTTGTGACTGTATAGTGCTGCAGGGAGTCAGTGGTACAAGGGCAGGATCACTGCCCAGCACTAGGGGCGTTACCCTGAGCTAGGTGCAGGTAGGAGAGGAGGGAGCACTTAGAGAAGACAGGGAGATGGGGTATGGATGGAGAAGAAGGACATAGCCTGCAGGGAGGTACAAAAGGATGGGATATATTCTGAATGGCTGCACAGAATTGCACCCTGACCTGGAAGCACCCTGGTCACAGGGATACCTGTCTGTCTCTCAAGTCCAGAGGGACATTGCCAACCAAAGGTCTCTTTTTGGACTCAACCCTTTGAACTGACATACCTGAAATTTGATACCCCAGAAAATGGTACTGGACAGTTTATTGCAGTGGCATAATCCTTCTGTACACTGGGTGAATATATGTCACTATGATTGATTTAATAAACATTAAAACTGACTGCCCATTAGTTAAACATGATAAAGTTAGGTGGGAAAGTCAAACTGAGAATGATGGGATGAGGAAGGGTGAGGTCAGAGGAATTTTCAGCCAGATGGAAAATTAGTTGGACACACAAAATGGTGTAGAGGTAAAAGCCACAGGCCTTTGGACAGCACATAGATTAATAGAAATGGGTTTAGTTGTAAGAGCTAGTTAATAATAAGCCTGAGCTATTGGTTGAGCATTTATACTTTATATTAAGTCTCTGAGTCAGTTATTTGTGAAGTGATTGCTGGTTATTTGGGAACAAGCAGTCAGAACAGGAAAAGTCAGCCTATAGTTCACTGCTTGGAACTTCCATCCTGAATTGTTTTGGCCCTGAGGGCTATATCTGTTCTTTTCTCTGAACGTCCCCATCAACCTGACCCTTCTCACTCAGATCTTGCCCACTGCACAGGCAGCACCTGGTGTCCAGAACCTTGATACACATCAAGTCTTCCGTACTAAGCATTCTAGTCCCTAGTGCCAGGTTGTAGCTACTGTACATCCTCTGGCTTCTGGTGATGGAGATGACACAGGGCATGGGGTACCCAGGGTCCTACCTATGAGCTCTCCCATATAAACTTTCTGCTCAAGAAAACGGCATTCACTGTATAAGATGTAGTGGTCCATCACTGGCAGTTCATAGATGTACATGAGATTCGTGCCCCAAACTGTAGATAAACAGAGAAAACAGGTCGGCAGTATTTCAGACACGTTGTTCTGACTGTGCTAAGGAGCTGGGTAGAGCAGGTTCTCTGCTTTCCTAGTGTTGCAGCCCTTTAAGACAGTTCCTCATCGTGTGGTGACCCCAACCATAAAATTATTTCATTGCTACTTCACTGCTGTAATTTTGTTACTGTTGGGAATCATAATGTGAATATCTGATAAACAGGATATCTGATATTGACTCCCAAAGGGGTCACCAAGCACAGGTTGGAAACCACTGGCCTAGGATGGTAGCGCTTGCACGCATGCATCCCTTATTCCCTTCTTCCGGCAGTAGATGCGGTATACCCAGCTCTTCCTAGCACCAGCTGCCATGAATTCTCCACTAGGATGGACTGCACCTTGAACAGTAAGCTGAAATAAACGCCCTTTCCCTAATCCTTTGGGACAGAGAGTTTTATCACGGCAATGGGAGAAGAAATTCAGACGGGCTCACAAGCCCTGTATTGGCCAGGCTTCTTTGTCTTATCCAGCACTAATTCAATCTGTGCGCACTCCTCCTCAAACCTGGAAAACAGGAAGCACAGCAGCAGCGTCTTGCAGGGCCCACACCTGCGTTCTGCTCAGCTCGCATGATGAGTCAGTGACCTGTCTACCCCATTTCAAGTGCAGTCAGGATTTTTCAAGTGATTGCGGTGATGGTGTCCCCTTAAAGCATGAACCTACTTGTCATCAACACTCAAAGCATAGAGGAGAGGGGAAGGGAAAGCTGGGAAGACTCATGGTGGTGACATTCACATGTAAAAGACCATAACCTCCATGTTTCCTTTTTCCAGGGCTCTCACCATAAAAGGGAATTGTTCCACATGGCTCTTCTGCTCTGTGATGTTCCGGTCATTCACTATGACTTTCCTGTACCAGATCCCCGAGACCTGTAACGAACAGAGCCCTGTATACCGTGTACACCCAATACACCCCAGTCCAAGCCAAGTTCTTCCTCAGGCTCCAGCACATGGGAAGGAGTCTGAAAAACATTTCAGAGCCCAGGCTGAAGCCCCTGACATGGTCTGGCCCCCAATCCCCAGTTCTGTGTTCCTTAAAGTTTTACCAAAAACCCATGTTCTAGTTAGGCAGAATGTGTCTGTTCCCAAAGTCCCCAAAGTCATCTGTTCTAGGACAGGGCATAAAGGTCCACCCCTGAGAAACATTCTGGTTCTTGGAGTCACTGCAACTAGGACCCTTCTGTGGGTCCAGCTCTGTGGTCCAGCAGGGCCCATGCCTGCTGGTAGAACAGCAATAGAGACAGCAAAGCAGTAAAGAGCAGACAAGACTCCAAGCTGAGGTGCAGTGCTAAAGACCAGACTCTGAGAACTAAAAAGCTCATGAGTGCCGGCTCCAATCCTCAGGCACTGGACAACAGTCAAGCATCCTTCCACCATCGCTCCCTGCCTCACATTCTTGTCTTCCGAGAGGAAAGGCAGTTCATCCTGGGCTCGTAGGCCAATCACCAGGACGAACAGTGTAACAGTCAAAAGCAGGCTCTTCATCTGCAGGCTCCGTCCTATAGACAAGGCAGGTCACACGGATGACAAAATGAGGCTCTGCTGGCTCCTTGGAGAATGCCCTTTATGGTCACAAATGGCACTGACCACACCCCACCTCGACAAATCCGTGTCCATCACGGGCATGGAGGTTATTGTGCAGCGATATGGTGATCATTCTTTACCTACTGCAGATGAAATACACAATGGCCTGCAATGTCTGCACGTCCAAAGGTGCCGCATACACAGAACCCACAATGGTGTATAAATGACTCTTGGACAGGAGTAGAGAACAGGCAGCCAGGAAGGGGGAGGGACCTGGATGCCTCCTACTCCTTCTTCACTCCCGCGCTTGCTCCCCAGCCACCCCTGGCTTCTCTCCCACAGAAGCCGAGAAAAGGACTGAGCTTCTTAACCACACACAACCCCGTCAGTGCCCTGGGCACAAACTGTGCACTAAGAGCCCACCACATGGCCCTATGCTACTCGGTGACCCTGCCCCAGATGTGAGTAGGGATACATTTGATGTGATCTAGCTGACAGCTCAGGAACTTCTGTGTCTGGACTGCTCTGAGAGGGAGGGACCACGTAGGAACATTAGAGACCGCAGTTACCTAACAAGCTTCACGCTGTGCACCAGGCTGCTCTGCTCTCTTCCCGCATTTCTTACCTCACAGAGGCTCACCCTTATCATTTCCCTTCTGGAACCATCACCCATCTATCTACCCAATTATATTCCAAGCTCCTGAGTAGAGCCTTGACCCCTGGGGTTCACCCTTTATTCCAGAAGCTGGGAGGTCCTAGCTATAAATCAGTCATCAATTTGTGCCCACTACAGTAAAGTGTCCCCACTGTAGTTCAGGGTTTCATCTCCAACAAGGCCTTGGAGCCTTGGCCACTTCATCTTCCGTTCTCAGCTTAGCTCACTCTCCATTAGGAACTCTGGTTTGCCCCTCCCCATCCTGATGACCTGAGTCCCATCTGACCTGAGCTCTAGAGAGAGGTTCTAGTCCCACAATGGCACCTTTGTGCCTCTGTAGAACAAGTTTGGATAGCTTCAAGGACATCTAAACAATATTAATGAGCACCCTATGGCAGGCCCTGGACTGTGCTGAGAAGCTGTCATGATCCAATCCTGTTAGCTGCTACTGCACAGGAAGCCTGACATCCTGGATGTGAGAGGGTGGGGCCAGCGCTCCTTAGCACCAGAGATTAGTGAGCAGCCCGGAGTCTACACCCAGGGTGCTAAGGACTTTGTGTACTTCGTCCTGCTGACCACACCACGGACACCTTCCACATCACTGTGAGGACCTACTGATGTCAACACTTACGGCAATGGTGTGTGTGATTCTTCCCTTAGCCAAACCAGGAGAGCCACATGCAGATGATAAACAGGTGAGGCCTGCCCCCACGAGTCTCGTGCAATAAGAAGGGCAGCTGACTCACGCTACCACCACTTCCCATCATCTATCTACCTGTCCTTCCCTGTGTCCCAGTTGACTGAGTTCTACCAAGTGGTCAAGCTATGTTCATGGACACCTGTAAGTTAAAGTGATAAAAGACACCATGGGGAGGAGGCAGAGGACTGCAGGTAACCCTGGGAGGATAAGAGGTAGGACAGGAAGTGGAGGTCTCCTCATGGAAGATGCTCTCAGGAGTCAACAGGCATTTGTGCTCAGGCTTGGGTAGACCTTATGGAGACTGTAAGCCATAGACGAAGGAAGTCCTGGCTTGTGTTGTTCCCATGGCCTAAGGCATTTCTCTTCAGGCCTCCCCTTTCTTTCTGGTGGCAGTTCCTGCAGGGATTCCCAGTTCCTCGGCTCCAGCTTTCATTGCTTTGGGTTGTGTCCCTCACTACCTTGAATTTTAACCTCAACTTGGCCACCCCTTCTCTGTCTGGCTAATTCCTGGGTACCTTGCTGCAAAGGACAGTGGCTGGGCTTTATTTGGAATAGATAGTTGATAGAATTTCTGTTGGTGCCAACAGCACCAGGCACAAGGGGAACTGGCTGGGACTGAGGTGTGTCTTAGTTAGGTCTCTGTTGATGTCCAGAAGCAACTTGTTTCAGTTCATAATCCATCACCCAGAGAAGCCAGGGCAGGAACTCAAGTCAGTAACCTGGAGGTAGAAACTGATGCTGAGGTCATGTAAGAGTGGCGCTTACTGGCTTGTTCCTTATGGCTTTCTCAGCCTGCTTTCTTATAGCACCAAGAACCACCAGTCCAGTGGTCCTTGCCCACATTGAGCTGTACACTCCCACATCAACTACCAATTAAGAAAATATACAGGCTTTTCTACAGGCCAATAATGTGGGGGCATTTTCCTGGTTGACGTTTGCTCTTCCCAGATGACTTCAGTTTGTGCTGAGTTGTCATCAAATTAGCTAGAACAAGATGCATCTGAGACTCCTGGGGACCAGTCTGACCTAAAAGATTACCTACATCGTGTATACTAAAAATTATTTCCCTAAATGGGATTATTTTAGCCATTTTAGATTCATTTATTTTATGTGTATAAGTCTTTTTTCTCACATGTATATGTGCCCTACACAGTTGCAGGTAGAGGAGGAGGTCAGCAAAAGGCATCAGATTCCCCTTGGAACTGGAATTACAGTTGTGAGCAGCCCTATATGTACTGTGAATGGAGCCCAGGTAATCTACAAGAGTTGCATCTGCTTTTAACCAATGAAATAACTCTCCAGTCCCTCATTCATTATTGAGAGGTGTGTATCCATAACTCTGAATGTTTGCGTATAGAATACACTCGGGTTGAAGCATAAGTGGTCAGTTAGGAGATGGGCTGTGGTTAAGTGCCAATGACCAACCAACTTGGTCCTCTTGTAGATTTTTGAAGACAGTGCCTGTCACAACCATCATAGATCTCACTTTCACTTTCAATGCCCATGTCCCTCTTTTCTGTTTCCAGTAACAACTCTGGTGAAGCCCAGATGTGTCATGAGTTACTACAGCTAATTAGGGCAGTTCCTAATTGGATAAAAGCTGCCTGGTGTGGTAGTGCACAGTCCCAACACTTGGGAGGCAGAGGCAGGAAGATTAGGAGCTCAAAGCCAGTCTCAATTTCATACTAAATTTTAGGCTAGCCTGAGCTACATTAGATTCTGTCTTTTAAAAGAAATCAACCATTTAAACTATTGAAGTAGAAAATTCTGGGCTGTGTCAATCAGTCAGTGCTGGGAGGTCATTTGACAAGATTCTGAGAAAGAACTGTGTGAAGAAGAGACTCACCCTTACTTTGAAGAAGAGCGTCTACAAAAGATCTGCAACCTGGGCCACTCCTGCTGTGCAATACGGCCATTTATACAGCGTCAAGGACCAGTGAGGATGTCCACTCTCCATGTGTATGTGTAACGCAGTGCAGAAGGTTCTGTTGAGCCTGAGTCTCGAGACACACACACACACCTCCCCGCGCACTAGCAAGACTACCACGGAGCCAACTTCCGATGCAATTTATTGTACAGGCTTGCAAGCAGGGGCCTTCTCCCACTCACCAACACAGCGGGTGAGGAAGACAGGCCCTGAGCTCACAGTGCATGGGGTCTTTAAAGAGAAAAATTGCAGACAGGGAGTTATGTGCCTTGGCGTTACTGATTGGGGTAGGGGGATAGTTGGCGCTAAGTCAAGAGGGGATTTTTGTAACTTTCCACAAAACCACCCAGTAACTGAAAAAAATAAATTATTTTTCTAGCTTCTGATAGGCTGTCCTCAAGTCTCTGGGCAGCCAGGCAGTTTTCATGCTGGTTGTGGCTTTTCTCTGAATTCACAGGTACATGGGGTGGGGTGCCTGGGGTGGGGTACCTGCTAGGTTACACTCTCACAAAGATGAGCCCTAGGTCTAAAATGGCTTTAGTTTTGTCTCTTCAGTTCCAAATATAGATTCAGGGTTAGTAGGAGAAATATATATTTTTTTTTACAGGAAGAGAAAGACCCTATGTGGAGATGGTGTAACTGTCTGTGTGTAAGGATCCAGTAAGTCTACAAACAAAACCAGAATTGTCAAGTTACTTGGGTTCCCCATATATGACACCTTCCACACTGATTTTCTGCAACCCTCGATGTCTTAGCTCTCCTTTCACTGTATTGTTCGGTATTCATTGTATCAACTATCCCTGCTCTATTAGGTGCTCCTATCTCCTGATTGCTTAATTATACATTATTACAAGTGTGACATATGCCATGAGCAAGCCCAGATGAAGCAAGGTGAACAATCACTACGGGCACAAGGGGTTGTAGATTCAACTGTCTGAGTCAGCTGTACAAAGGGGACATTTAAAGACGTAATTGAGGGTATTGACGGGAATGAGACCCGAATAAGGAAGTGGAAGAGGACTCCCAGAGGGAGGAACATTCAGTGGAGCCTGGAAGGGGCAGACAGAGCCTGGCTGTAACAGGAAGTGACTGGAGGGCAGAGAAGAGGGAGTGGATGGCAGGACAGGGAGCGGATGATAGCCAGAGACCAGGTTAGAGAGGGGATAGCACAAACGGTGGTGATTTGGGGGCCTCTGATGCGGGATTCCCCTCTGTATGCTGTGAATATGTTTTGTTACCATTGGTTAATAAAGAATCTGCTTTAGCCTATAGCAGGGCAGAGTATAGCAAGGTGGGAAATCCAAGTAGAGATAGAAGAGAAAGAAGGCAGAATCAGGCAGACGCCATGCCACGTAGCTATTGAAGGAGAAAGACGCCAGAACCTTGCCAGTAAACCACATCCATAGTTTCCCCTCACTCTGGGGCCAGGCATACAGCTCTGATTGCATTAGAGGCTTAGTCAATACATATGAGCCTAATAAACCAGCTACACACCCTGTGGCCCTTAGATCCAGCACACCTCCACCCTGTCCAGCAGACAAGCCACCATGTGACCCAGCTTCCCACACTGCTCTCTATACTGAGTTCCACAAGGTGCCCTCATTTCCCTGAAGTCACTGTGGGGCTGGCTACTAAAGTGCATTCCTCCTCGTAACATACCCCCCCCCCCATCTAGGAGAGCCC